TCATTGCGACAATCGGATCGCCGACGTGGATACTGTGCGACAACGCAAAAACATTCAAAACCATAAACCAATGCTACGATTCGCTCTCGGAACCTGATATCGACAACGACATTATTGATTATTGTGCGACCAAACGAATCAAGATGAAATTCATCCCAAGTTTCAGCCCATGGCAAGGAGGCATCTACGAAAAAATGATCGACATTTTCAAGAAATCGTTCAAACGCGCAATTTCGAACAGACTCCTCGACATAGAAGACATCAAAACCATAACAAAAGAAGCCGAAGCCATAGTAAATAGCCGACCCCTCACCTACTGCTCTGAGGACATAGATTATCTACCATTACGACCCATCGATTTCCTGAGACCAGGAGCTCGTCTATGCGGACCACAGCCAACGGAATATTTACGTGAATACCTTCCTTTTCAATCTACACGAGATACTCTACTTGAAGACTGGAGTCGGACAGCAGCAATAATTTCAGAGTTTTGGACTCGTTGGAACATGGAGTACCTAACGACTATGCGAGAACACTTTCGAACGGAACATAATACGCCACGATCCCATGAGAGACACCCTCCAAAACTGGGAGATCTTGTCATCATACATGAACCCTTCTTGCAGAAAGGGCAATGGAAAATGGGCGAGATTGTTGGATCTCAAGATGAATTCAGGAGATCTGTTGAAATCCGCCTCCCCTCAAAGAAGATCGTTACTCGTCCTCACTGTCTGATCCACAAGCTGGAGATTCCTCCAACGCATCAATGTGAAGATGAACCTGGAACTACTCCCACTACCGCCGCCGTTCCTCCCACGGGCGACATCCTATGATGACCAGATCGAAATCTCGACTCAATCCCATGCTTCTTTGCCTCAGCATTTTCATGTTACTTTTCCAGCCCTCCTTGATGATAGACACCAGATGCCCTGAAGGTACCAATATCAACAAAACTATACTCTATGCGAGCAACTGTGTTTCAAAAGGAATAGCTATAGCCAAATATACCGATACGGATAAGGAGACAATGTGCTGGTTTCCTGTGATCTGTCCAGTAGGACACATACGATTCGAACTTCTATCAACATACTCAAGACCATCGAGATCTACCTTATGTGGAGAAACGTGTCAGTGCCCAAATTGGACTACTTCTTGTTCTTATAGCAGGAGTGATAAAACAGCGACTTCGGAAATCAAACTTATACCTAAGAGTCTACTGGAATACCGTCCAGAACAAGTGTGCTCCTTTCAACCGTCCTCGAAATGCGATTCTGTGAAGAAACTGGGGATGTTCAACCAAATACAATTATTCGACAACAGCTACTCCTGGTGAAGGAAATCACTGTCAGCATCAAAGATTACCTAGACAAATACGATTTCATATGCATTGACAAAAAAGGATGGAGAAGACACCTATTGGGCAGGCTACTAACGGGCACATCCTACTTTTGCGAGAAGCACAAGTGTCACACTAACGCAAAGCTATTTTGTACGTACGATAACCCAATCGCCGTATACGTAACAAACGACACAGCCAACATATTCAAGGGAAATATCCCCATAAAAGCATGGGGTCCAGTCATCAAATCCTATTATGAATATCCTACTACCTCGCGTCTACCGGATACCAACAATAACAGAGGACTTATCGGACTACACGAGAACACATCTCTCACGGCATCTTGCATGAAAGGAGGATTGGACTTGAAGTGCCAACGAAGTAACGACGTTGTTGAAGCCTGCAGCAATCATTACTGCATCTTTGCGAAATGTCCACATAATTACCTAACCTTTCCAAATTCCATCATAATGTACGATTACAAGGTGAGAATCAAAGTTTGGCATCGCGGGGAACTTGTCTACGAGAATGAACTCCACTGCCACGCCCAACCGATATGCGAAACTCTTCAGTGCCTTTTCTGCTGGGAACGCTTCTACAACACACAATGCTGGACCGCCATACAAATAGCGCTGTTCTTATCCACGTTCATCCTCTGTGTCTTCCTGATACGCTGTACCTGCCTTCTTCTCAAAGGGTTAAGATGGGTCATCATGAGTATCTTGCGTTGCATCAGTGCCATCATCCTGCGAAAAAAGAAACAAAACAAACTTCGGTCTTACACCAGTCGACGGAGAAAACACGGTCTCATTCTCACATTGGTCACAGTAGTACTGCAATTCTCCATCACAAATGCGTGTTCACAAGTGGTGACCTTGACTGCTCATGAAAACACCTGCTCTTCTTCCGACGGCATAGAAAAATGTACCTTCAATGAGATAACGGTCATAACTCTGCAACCACTTCAACAAGAAAGTTGTTTAACCCTTCGGAACGACCACCACCAAGCCATTGCCACCGTCTCCATCAGAATCGACGGCATAAAATTCCGCTGCAATCAGAACATTGAATTTTTCACTAGGGATCACAAGCTTGTCGCCGAATCAATTCACCGATGCTATCTAGCCGGAAGTTGCGTGGAGAAGGCTTGTGATCAGATATCTCCTCAACACCAACTGAAAGAGTTCTCCAATCTAGCAATTCGTAGTCCCGGGTATACCTTCTGCGAAAAGAGCTGTGGATGCTGGACGTGCGATGGATGCTTCTTCTGCCACCCTAGCTGTCTTTTCTATAGAATCTTCGCTATACCGCGAACAGAAGAAGTATACACCGTCTTCAAATGCCCGAGTTGGGAAATGGTTGTCGACGCAGACGTATCCATTCTGGATAGCAAAACGACTCTTACGACAAAGCTGCGACTCACACCGGGAAGATCTATCGCATGGAACAATCTTCGATTTAGTCTCATAGGAACCACCGTACCTCAATTACCAGTTCTCTCATCAACCTTCATAAAAGCACGTAACAGGGTTTCCATCATAAAAGCAGCATCAAAAGGTCAACTCATCGCCAACAGCGCAGGACAATTGCAATGTTCGACTATCGAAGATGCCAAGAATTTTCGCTGCCAGTTTTCCAGCTCCATATGTCAATGCACTCACGGTATTCGCTCAGTTTCATGCGTCTGCCCTCAACTGGACATGAGCAAAATAATCAATGCCAAACCACTTCCCCAGATATCGAAAAACTTCATGATTTTCTCGGAACAAGACACAATATACGCTAAGGCTAGCGTGGGATCTGCCCTGCAATTACACATTGTAGCGGAGAACTTGAAAATTACATCGCGTTCCTCCAACAGCACTTGCGCAATTGAAACAGGCGATTTGATTGGATGTTACAACTGTTTCACAGGAGCAGAATTGAGTGTATCTGTCAAAGCAGTGAGGGAGAAATCACAGCAAATATGGAATGTTCAACTCAGACTCAGGTTTTGCGATGCACAACCAAAGGTCACCTCAACAAAATACGTCTACACTTCCAAAGCCCAACCGTGTCTCAGAGCTGCTTAGTGTCTTGTCCAGGCGGATCCACTAACATCACCATCAAGGGAATGCTTCAATTTTCCAATGAGAATCTTCTCACAGAAGATGCGTCCTTACAGAACAGGGCTGGTAGAACAACGGAAAGCTCACTATTTTTCCAGAAATTTCCATCAATGGTATTGAATTTCTTCAAGAAAATCCCACAGTTTTTCTCCTCACTAAGCATGGTAATCAATTTTATCATTTTTCTGGTTCTTCTTTTCTTTATCTTGTCTATATGCAAAACCACAGACACATTACTCGGATCCTTCTGTTCAGGAACACATCAAAACAAAAAGTCTCTCTGATTTCTTTCTTCGCGCGGGAGTTTCTGTAACTTTTACAGAAATAGTTAATCGAAATGGAAACTGGACTTACAGAAGAATACTACTGTACATCTCATCTTCCAATCGTTGGCATACGTGGGAATCACTACTCATTTTGTATTCCATGATAATATTGCAAATGTGGGAAAAATCTTTGTGTTCATTCTAAGAGTACATATTTCTATTTAGTAAAGCATCTACATATCGCGATAACTAAATGCAATATCTTCTCTCCGATCGTCTGATTGTGAAACAGCACTGTATGTCGAGAGAGCGTTAGTTCCTCAACACCTATATAAGCTGAGCCAAAAATCATTGCTTGTCTTCAATAAAAATTCGTCCAACGTCAATCCAAGTGCACGAATAGATGAGGGGGGCGGGGGGGGGGGGGGGGGGGGGGGGGGTAAGATGAGGAGCGATACGGAAAAAATGGATGATGGTACTGCGCGCCACGCGGTCTCAGATTTTGGGACCACCCTGTAAAACGAAGTTAGAGACTGCGTTCGCGCTCATTCTCATCATTCCTTGTCATTTCTTATCAGTTCATACTGTTTGCAATCGGTGCACCCAAACCTCCACGCAGCGTGTAGGAGCTAATATTCACTGTCACAACGAGGGCTGCAACGAAATTAGCAGTACTCAAAATCCTAACTTCCTCATCAACAGGTATCGCTTGTTATCACTTCTGATCATCCGCTATCCGTGTTCCCGTCCCATCCCCTATACCGTATGTGAAAGCCAAGGTTTCAGTGTAACCGCGAGGCCGCACGAAACTGGTGGTATCTACACTTTAACGTCCCTTATCAGTTCTTATCAGCTGCTACCACATTCGTTGACTCAACTTCTTAGTCCCCGCCTCACTGCACATATTATACATGAGTGCTCCTCAATGTCAACGCGAACGGTGCAACGAAATTGGTAACATCAACATTTCGTATCAGCTTATCAGTAGTTATCACTTCCCGCCACCCGTCATCAGTGTTCACCTCCGGCCCCCTATATATCCTAGAAGTTTGAGCGCTCTGGGTCCAAAGGGGGTGAAGTTATGAATTTCCGGTCAGACACACACACACAACCGCTTAGCCGATTATATACAGTAGAATCATGAGAGTGTAACAGGTGGGGCAAAACCATGAGGCTCTGACTTTGGTTTGAGCCATGTTATGAAATTCTCTTTTGTCCACCTGTGGTCCACATCCCATCCATATTCGAATGGGATTACCAAATGGACCAGACTCTGTACCTCGTCTTACCCAGGGTATGGATGCAGTACCGGGTGACGAGTCACGCATAGACCGGAAGTACAGCACCTGATTGCGTAACATGTCATACTAAAAATTAGAACAATGCCTCAAAATGTTTGACAAAATCATGAATCAAATCAAAGCAGGCACCTGCAAACATTGCTCATTTCCACCTTTATTATTTGGCTCTCCAACGTCCCAATTAGTGTAAGAGAAGGGTCGTTCGTCAGACCACGTCCACGCTGTGTTTGACGGATAGCCAGCTTGCCTCCCTCCAATCCAAAGCATTTCATTATAGTCATCATCACTGTTCTTATTTGTATCGAGTGGTGCTTTGGCGAGATCTATAAAGAGATAGGTTCCTTGCTGAAATTGTAATCGTTATGTGTGCATGCGCCAAAAGAACGACTGTGCACGTTCTAAATGAATACGAACGAAATTTCATGGACATTTGAGTGTTTATACGCCCAGTGATAGTGCTCGAGGATCAAGCCAATATGGCGTAAAAATCTATCTAAATTCTATCTTATCACCGTTTTCAGCTGTCTAGATACCAGCTGTTATCATTGACCGGTCCTCATAAAATATTTATGTTCCCGTCCACCTCCTATCGCCTCTGCGAAGCTGCTTCAATGCTGCTGGGCTTTGCGCTGTCAATGTCGTGACATTTTCTTCTACGCTTCTTACAAACGTCTATCAGCTGTTAACACGTCCCCATCAAATAAGTTCCCGTCCCACTCCCTATATCTTATCATGAATCAACTTCTGGCGACGGCCGGTAGGCGCGCCATGATATTCATATTTGCACACCAGACACACACAACACACACACGCTCACACACACTCGCACACATGCATACTTAAACACACTTGGCCGATTTCATATAGTAGAATCCTTTCGTTATGCAAGGGGCGACTAACTAGCTTAATTGAGGTCCTCATGCAACGTAACAAACAACCGCTGCTTTAGGCATCTCTTAGGCTGCTATCCGGGCACGTCTGTGTTAGGGCCGATCTTACGCACACTGTCATCGTTTCCACGAAGCACGTGACCATACCATCGAAGACGAGCTTCGCGCATTTTATCAGCAATAGGAGCTACACCAAAGCGATCTCGTATGGTATCATTACGAATACGATCTAAACGCGCGACACCAGCCGTCCAGCGCAGCATTTTCGCCTCCACTAGGCCGATGTCAGACTTTGCGAATCGCGCGATTCGCTACTAGCGATTCGCGCGATCGCTAGCGTCCGCGGTCGCGTTGCGGTACCAGCCAATTGAGTGATTCACTGGCCGCGACGCGACCGCAGACGCTAGCGAATCGCGCGATTCGCAAAGTCTGACATCGGCCTACACCGAAGTGAGCTTCTGTTGCTTCAGCCGTGGGCCCACCGGGAGCGCCGTACTTTGCCATTAGTCTTATGACGGTCCTATAAGATCTTCGATTTCAGGCGTTCTGGAATTTTTTGTCGCAGAGAACACCCGTCATAGAACGCCACTTGGACCATGCAGCACTCACGCGTGAAATCACTTCAGTACTCATACCACCATTCAAAGCGATTGCCGATCCATGATACTTGATCGTGGTCGTAGGTGATAGCTCTGTGCCATCTTCAGGTTGGCCAGAAATTACGGTAGCATAGCGTACTGCATAGAATTTCAAAAGTGAACGGATGAAGTTTTGAGTGTGGCTTTTGTACACTTGGTTCTACAAGGACGAAGTTCATTCTTCAATTTCCCACTTAAAATCTTTTTCTTCAGAATTGCTCAAGCCTTTAGCTCTTCATAAAATAACGACTCGCTTGCTTGTCAAGGTGTCTGGTGGTGTTATTGTACATTGCTAAGCGAGTCAGGATATTCAGGAAACCAACAACTACCACCATTGCGACGAACAGTCGACAGATACCACGAAACATTGGATTGGATGTGGAAGAAAAGCTTCTTTTGTTATCAGGAACACTGTTGAGAAAAAAGGCGCGAAGAAGCGATGGACTCTAACAATTTCAATGCGTCGTTTGTGCTAATTGTTAGCGGTCAGGCTCAGTTCTTTGCGGTAATCGTCAGATGACATCCCCGTGGCCAAACGCGTAAGCGTAGAAAAGCTCAGCTCTTCAATGGGGCGAGTAAACTGAAAAGGAAATGGAGCTGGACGGAGGCGTTGTCTCAATTCAGTATTGCCAACCTTTTCACTAATGGAGGAGAATTCAGAGTCGAGTTAGTCATGAATGAATAGAGCTATAAAAACTGCATTTAAACTAGCTGAAGCTCAATATTTCAAACATTGTTGAGTTTAACCCTTTCCGGACCGCGCACTTTTCACGTGGCGGGCGCGTGTGGCCGGCGCCTTTTTATGCTCACCGTCGCGCGCTACTCAGCGAGCATAAACATCATATATTTAATCTGTATTCCCACTAAAATCAATATTATTGTCTCGTTTGTGTCTTTGTCATGTCTTAAAGTATATATGTGGTAAATATGACAGAAAACCGTCCTGTAATAAAAGTGATAGGGCCACAAAAAGGGAGGCAGGAGTGAAAATTGTTCAAAATAAGTTGTAATGGGAAAAAGGGACTAGAAGTGTCCGAAATTTTGAGTTCAATAGCATCAGCTACGACGTGCACGAGATAGGATGAATTCTTTTGTATGAATTCTTTTTGGTTAGTGTAGGAACTATTTCGAGATTGTAGTCCAGGTTTTTTCATATATAAGGCATAAGTATGTTACATAGATATGTAACAACATGAAACATTTTGTAGAAAAACCGAATCTCGGAAAAATCATTCCTTGAAATCCCTGACACCCCATGGGTGTCACTGACACCCCATGGGTGTCAGGCGGTCCGGAAAGGGTAAAAAACAGCAAAGGATTTTGCGGTGATCACACTGACCGCGACACTCATCTATTTCACAAAACATAAAATAGAAAAGAATAGGTTACCTTTTTTCTCTTGCTCAAAAAATTCCTCAATTCCAAGGAAAGAAATAACAACCTTACAAAACATTTTTGTGGAACCCGGCACACAAGAAATTTGTGCATTGCCAGCTAAATTGCTAAGAGATTTTTGCGTTTGGAAAGTGACCAACCTGACCTCCCAAATTAATAGATCCACTTGTTTATGCTGCACGAATGGTGGTGAAGACATCATAGAGACGTTAATGGCTTCAAGGAGCCGCTTCATAATGCGTTAAACGCACTCAAACTCGTCGGGTGTTCCCAACAGGCCCACCGCGCGGCGAAGCAAGAGACGCAGACGCGGCAAAGGGACGAGTCGCAGCGCATACTGTAGCGGTTAGGCGTCAGGTTAAAGAGAGTGTACCATACTACGTCTCATATCGCACAGCACGCGCTGCGACTCGTCTCTTTGCCGCATCTGCGTCTCTTGCTTCGCCGCGCGGTGGGCCTGTTGGGGGACACCCGAACTCGTCTGTCAACACGATGCGGTCAGCTCATTCCTTGAACGAATTCATTCCTTTTTCAAAGCGGATAGTGGCAACTTGGAAGGACCATGTGGTTTTTCGTTTATTACTCTTCAGTACACATATTTCCTTGCCTTTCTCTAGTTGTACAGATTTTCCATGACCGCTTCATCTTGTTACCGCAATTTCTGGTCACCCTGTATTCTTATAGAACCGTGTTCGCCCAAGTCAGTTGTCAAGCATTCGTTCTTTTTTGACAAGATTTTGCTGACGAGCACCACGTAATAGGCACAGAGAGGCGTCCATGGAGCCGGTTTCCCAAAATCACGTGTTATGGCATCCATGACGACAACGGAAAGTAGTAGGAATTGTGCAGCCCAATAGAGATGGGGAATTGCATTGAGGTGTCCTATCGTTTGCACTTAGCTTTTTGGGCGCGAGTTAACCCACTCAATAAGTACTTCAAGAATGCCACGTTGTGTCCAGTCTAGGAAGGCAGAATGGAGAAGGCTTCCGTTTTACGCGTTTCTTCTAGCAGTAGACGAGCGGCATGTATTGCATTAATGGTACCACAGTAGCTTGAAAACCCCACTGGTTCAAGACTTCACGAGTACGGCGATCTAGAATTCGCTCAAATATCTTCATGCAGTGGGAAAACAGATGAGTTGGACAATAGTCCCGTGAAAGTCTGCGAAGCTTTCTAGGTCATTGGATTTTCACTGTCAAATGCAGTTGGTCTGCATATTTTTTTCGGTTGTAGGGCTACTACTAATTAGTCAGAGGTGTCTTGCGGTCCTTTGCTTTGAAGCAAGTTCTGTTCTTAGCTTACTGAAGCATGTCGTCGCTCCCGTGAATAGCGCTATGGGCGAAGTGACACTTTTTTGCTCCCTGTTTGTGTACCGCGTTCCCGAAAACCAGATGCTCGAGTGCGGACTACACAACGCAAGGGAAGACGGACTCCAAATGTAAATGTTTTTTTTGCCACACTACCTACCACTTTTACTTAAGGTCGTCGCCCCTTGTGGTGTGTAGTCTAGACTCGACGAGCATCTGATTTCCGGAAGCAGAGCGCAGGTGCCATATCCTTTAGCAAGAATGGAAAAGCGATTTCTATCCGGTTACGCATTTTTGGGACAAACACACATTCATGACGCTGCGGCTATTTTTTGAGCTTTTTGTCGAGGTAATGCAGGCATTACTGGCTTCTGATCAAAATATTGCTTGGAACTATGGGTCGGACTTCGCCTACTGGAGCCTTCCAAAGCCTGCACCTACTGGCTTTCTTATGATTGTTTGGTTTACATCTAGAAGCATTAAGAATAAAAAGCAAAGAAATATTGGATATTGATTGGATCGCCGTTAGGAGAACCTCCTAATACATCTGACCCAATCTGCAAGAATGAAGGCAGGCTACTTTTTGTTATCCAGTTCATACATTGAAGAATGTCACCGAAAAGTTCAAAGACTCAATATTTCTCCACAACCTAGTCATAAAGCACTTGCTTACTATATATGAACTCATTTTCTTCATCCGACGTGATTGAAGCTAAACGCCCGCCATTAGTTTTACAGATGTCCTCCGCTTCGTTCCATGTGGCCCTCTGAGTAAACACCTAAACATACTAATTCGGTAAACAAATATACGGAGAAATGATCAGAGAGTACTTCATTAACAACGTATGATCGCTCAGAAGCGGTCTGCACTTACTTTATACTGTTTTTCCAATTTGGGAAAAACTGCCCATTCAGCGCTTGAAAAGCAGCACAGCTGCACAGCCACGAATACGAACAAGAAGATGGGACAATGCGTCATTCCTCTTCTCCTAAGAAAAGTCATGATTTGCTACGTTCAAAAAAGAATATACTGGAAATGGGGTGTTCAGCAATAGCAATTCCTACGTAGCAATCACTGGATGATCGAACCTTTGCGTAGCTGCTTGCTGGTAACATCAACACCTTCACAAAAATCCTTTCAATGTGCATATGAGCTATACGCCCTTCAAGATTTCATCGCTGCACTCTTTGCGATGACTATTTCCATTCCACACTTTTCTACATTTATTTTTGGTCAAGGTCTGGTTCAAAGAAAGTGAAGAAAATGTGCCATGCGATGAAGGATGCTTCGATATCTCTGTTCTCTGATTACTCTAGAAAATGCCATTGAACTTCTTAAATGGGAGAGGTGATGTGGCAGAAAGACGCAATACTTGCAAATCCATCACCAACAAGGGAGAAAAGCAGGAAAAATGCTCTCGCGTCTGTCTAAAGCATCAGTCCCAATCTCATCTATTTTCAGGCCACTGATCGAATTTTTAAGCTTCACTAACGAGGCCCTCAATAGTACCTGTCGCGTGCCAGAGTACTCGCATGAATCCTCCCCTACAGTGGCATTTATCAAACATTACTTTCTTCTTTTACTTTCTTCTCATTTCTAGCGTCGGTCCTGCACTACCACAGGGTACCTGAAATCGTGTGGTGTTACACTTCTCTCATACAGGAGGTTTTAGAAAGGTCTTGACTTCGACAAGGCAATTCTTGATGGCATCCAACTCTTCTCTGTGACTCCTTGTGGTCGTTATCATCAGAGGCACAGGCCGGGATAAGGTGGTCAAAGTATCTTTCCATCGCTAATGTGGCTCGGACTGCAACAAGATGGGTGACGCCACGCTTCTGACTCAGAACGGAATCGCAATGACGCTCCCGGAATAGTATTCAGAGTGATGCCGCCTGGCGACCGCCTATCACGGGGACAGATGCGTGGCTGGAATACGCTGTGAAGGCAGCTGGGTTGACTGCCTTATCAACTGCGGCATGTGCGGAAAGTCGTTCTGACATGCTTTACTACCCAAGGCAGCGTTCTTTGCTGTTTTTGAGGGTAGGTTTTGACTTCGGTGTTGTCGATGGCCTTTTTGTTCTGGACACGCACTGCACAGATGCACTCGGCTACAAGTGCACTACAACATTTTCATTTCTCAGCCGTACGATCGTAGTCATTGTAACAGAAGCTTTGAGCCTCGCAGTAGCGGCGTTTAAACGATCCCAGCGAATTGTCGAGAGCGTGCTGGGGAAACAAAGAGGGCGAAGGGTTCCTGACATAGGTGTAAACGTTCCTTTGCTTTTTGTGAATGACCATTGGCAGTAACTACCATGAATCTTTCGTTTTCTGGACAGAGACAGTTTGCATGACCACTCTGTCACCCTTTCTAATTCTGTCCAGCCACGTCAAGCTGCAGGCCCACCTCAGTGCCCTCATCTCAATTGAGTGAAGGTGCCTTTCGTGATTAGTGTCCATATATCTATTTTTCTTTTCATTTCTTATATCGAAGGTATCCCAAGTCCTCCACTCTTTCAGTGTTTCACCACAGCCGTCCCTGATGAGCACTGTACCCTCTTCAAAGCTCTGTTCTGGTATTTGAGGTATTTGCTGTTCTCGACATTTAGCCCAGATCCACCTTCTGCCAGCGCTTTCTGCCACTTCTGCACCTTGGCTTGAAGTTCTTCTCTGCTATCCGCTATCAGGGCGACGTCGTCAGCGTAGAGGATAGTCTTCAGTGGTCCCTCCATGAGCCCCTTCACCAACATCTAGTGTTAGGAGGAAGAGGAACGGGCTCAGAGCTGACCCTTGGTGCACCCCAACCGTGATGTCCACCTCCTTTTAGGCCGTGTGGGGTGCGTATGCTGCCTTAGCTCCTTGTACATGTCCTTCACCAGAGAGATCAGGTGTTCTGGCACGTTCCGTTCCCTAAGCGACCTCCATAGCACTGCTCGCGGTAGCCGGTCGAACGCCTTCTCCAGGTCGAGGAAGGCTAGGTAGCAGGGTCGGCGTTTTCTCGATACTTCTCCATCACTTGCCTTGCGATGAAGATGGCATCCGTTGTAGACCTTTCGGGCATGAACCCGAACTGTTCCTGGGAGATCGGGACCAGCTCCCGCAGTTCGAGTCGACCAGTCGCTCGTACAGCTTCATTGTATGAGCAGTCAACTTGATCCCGCGGTAGTTGGAGCAGTCCATCGCGTCACCCTTCTGCTTGAAGATGGGGACGATAGCACTTGTTCTCCAGGTATCCGGCGTCATTCCTTACCGTGTTCGGGAAGCTGATGAGAAACGGTAGCGTTAGTTGTGCGAGACTTGACAGGCAGGTGAGACGCGGGTTCAAAATGCGCCTAATGCAAAAGCTTTGAACGTTACTTTAAGTATTTGCGAAAAGTAGGCAGACGGTCGAAGTTCCCGGCATGATTTCCAGAGAACTCTGAGAATTTGTCCAAACATTGATTACGCAGGCTAGCTATGAATGCTCTATCCTCTTAGCCAACAGCCTGAAGAGTTGCTTGTTGTTGATTGTGTTTTCGAACGCTTCCATTTGGAAATAAGGAAACGGGAACATTGAAATTATACGGTCATATAATCCAGAAGCTGAGGCAGGGATAGCCGAGTGGTTAAGAGGTTAGACTCATGTCTGCACCTCTGAAAACCGCGAGTTCGATCCCTGCCGAGGTTAACCATGCCTTGCAAAAATTGCAAAAATGGTTCTAGTACCAGCGTCAGGCCCAGGTTGACAGGCCGGCTGATGAAGACCCCAGTCACACAAATATGTCTAAAGTCGCAAAAGAATCAGTGATAAAGCTAGGACGTCACCCGGAAGTGGCGCGCAGAACCCCCGCCCGAGTTCTGTGGTCAGTATGCGAGGGCTACCGAGGAGTGAACGGCCTCGGCCAAAGAAGCTAGTTCGAATTGGGACTCTGAACGTAGGATCGCTAACTGGGAAGTCCCGAGAGGTTGCTGATCTGATGACGCGCAGGAATATCCAAGTCCTATGCCTTCAGGAGACGCGATGGAAAGGTGCTAAGGCCAGGGAAATCGGGGAAGGTGTCAAGCTCTACTACAATGGAAGACACCAAGCGGAACGGTGTGGCCATAGCGGTAGCGGAGTCGCTCAAGGACTATGTCTCCGCTGTGAACAGGATCAGCGATCGGATCATGGCTGTGAGGATAGACACGAAGGAGGGGTACTGGACCATACTCTCCGTGTACGCACCGCAAGCCGGGTGCCCCGAATGAGAAGGACGAGTTCTATCTGAGCCTTGACGAAGCCATCAGATCGATTCCGGAAGGTGATTACCTGACCATAGCAGGTGATCTGAATGGTCACGTCGGCAGTGACAGAAGAAGGCCTGGAAAGAGTGCACGGAGGTAGAGGAATAGGAGTGAGAATAGCCGAAGGAGAGTGTTGTGGAAATGAAGATTGTTTATGATCTTGTATTATCACTGACCTCGAGGTGTATATAAACACCTCGACTAAGTGAGGTTCAGTTTATTTCCTGCAATAAATCTTCCTCTCAAGAACTGGTCGTAACACTGGCGATCAGGCCACGGATTCATGGAGAAGCTTGCCGAAGTTCTTTCGCTGATGCAGAGCCGGATGGAGCAGCAGGAAAAGGCGCTGGAGTTCATGCAGCAGCAGCAAAGGGAGACAGCCGAATCCTTTCTCCACGCCTTAGAGAAGATGGAAGTGAGAATGAATGGAGCCAATCCAGCAGCTGCCAAGCACAGCATTTTCGACTCCTTGTGCCGCCGTATTGACAGGTTCACTTTCGACGCAGAAAACGGAAGAACATTCGATATATGGTACAAACGATTCAAAGACGTCTTCGACAACGACTGTACGGAGCTGAGCGAACAAGAGAAGACTCGCCTACTGGTCAGCCGCCTGGATGAAGACAGTCACCAGCTCTTCTGCGGTTCGATTGCACCGAAGTCGCCGTCAGACCTCTCATGGGATGATAGCTTATCTACCAACCTGCTTGGATGTCTTTTCGGTTCTGGTAAGACAATTATTTCGATTTTCGACACGATTTGAATGTCTTAAGATTCAGTATGACCACCAAGATTTCAATAGCTATGAGACACTTGTTCGAACACGATGTTCTGATGCCAAATTCAACTCCATCAACTTCGATGGTCTGCAGTGCCTGATCTACGTCGCAGGATTCCAGGGAGCCGAATTTGCGGACTACAGAACACGACTACTAAGAAAGCTAGATCAAGGTGAGACATTACGATCAAAGACCTCACTGCTGAGTGTCAACTTATAAAAGCATACAAGGAAGACGCCAGAATGCTGGAAAACGCGATTAATGCTAACGCTACGATCAACCATGTCAATAAGAGGAAGAAAAGAAGAGTTTTCAGACAAAAGCAGGAACAGATGTTCAAAAAGAAAACCAATGCGCTTCACGACAGTAAACGATCTGGAATACAGGAATCAACATCACCGTCACGCCCACAGACCAGACGTTACGGCACAAAGAATTACCAGATCAAAAGCATCGAGGCCGCTTTAAGCAAAAACAACCAACCACACCTGGAAGTTGAAGTAAATGGACATCCCCTGGATCTTTTACTCGATACTGGCGCCATGATCACACTGATCTCTGAATCGAGCTGGAAGATACTTGGGAGGCCGCAACTACAGAACTGTAACATGGTCATTAACGCCGCCAATGGAACAAGAATCCCAACAAATGGATCTCTAATGGTCGATTTTGTGCTGAGGAGCTCTGACGGAAAACAACATCGAGGACGAGGATGCTGTTACGTTACCGACAACCTCGACATTTTCGGCTGGGAAATGGATCCAGAAGATTTCAGAGCTGGTGAAACCACTGCAAAGATATGTCAGTGGTGTGTCCATCGTTGCGGATCCTGCGGCTGCCTACCGAGAAGAAATCGTCGCCAAGCTGAAAGTGAACTATGCTGACGTATTTAAGACAGGACTTGGACGATGTACCAAGACGAAGGCAACCCTACAACTGAAGCCCGATGCCCACCCCATTTTCAAGAAGAAGCGCCCCGTGCCATACGCATACGTCGCCGCACTAGACGGAGAGATCGACCGCCTACTTGCAGAACAAGTACTTTCCCCAGTGGATTACTCTGCTTGGGCTGCGCC